GACGGCGCGGGCGGCGCCGAGCTCTTCAAGACCACCAACTTCACGAGCTTCATCCGGCAGCTCAACCTCTACGGCTTCCGCAAGGTGGTGCCGGGCCCGGCAGGCGCGCCCGGCGGCGGCGGTGGTGGTGCCGCGGGCTCCCCGCTGCACCACTTCCACAGCCCGCACTTCCGCCGCGACCGGCCCGACCTCCTGGTGCACCTGAAGCGCCTCACGAGCGCCAACAAGGCCAAGCTGGCGGCGGGCCTCGAGGTGGCGAGCCGCCCGCCCAACCGCTTCCAGCGCCTGCTCAGCTCCTCGCTGCACGGCGAGCCGCCCGCGCACAGGCCGCACAAGGCCGGTGAGGCCCGCGCGCCGCCACCGTGGGGGCACGCTACCCGGCACACCGCCGAGCCCCCGCGGCCCGTCCCGGCCGTCCCCGCACCGTGCTCGCTGTAGCGGGAGAGAGGACGCGCTGGGAGGTGCCCGCGGAGGCCAGGGGCACGGGGCGCCTCCCCAGCTGGTTCCCAGCTTGGGAACCGGTGAYCCGGGGGAGCCGGTCGGGCTCCGTGATCCTTAGAGGGCCCTCCAGCCGTGTGGTTCCCCGAGCGTCTCGTTTGGTGCCATCAGGGCTCTTGCTTGGTGTCGCCCACGATACGAATGTGTCGCCTGCAGAGCGGCCACAGCGCTGCTGCCTGCGGGATGGGCCCCTCTTCACACACCGGCGGAGCGCGGGTCTCTCCTCGGTTCTCTCCTTGCACACACTGTGGTGTAGCTCCGGGGTGGTGTCTGCTGCACGTGCAGGGCTGCGCCGCTAATGCCAAGGAAAGAATGGGAAACGCTCGAGAAGGAGCTCGTTTCTTTCAATATTCAGACTAGAAAACCCTTAAGATTCATTTAAACTGTTTTAGGGTCGAGTCATCTGAGATTTGTGCAGTGAAGTCTGGTCTGTTGAGCCATACCGCAGGCCATTCCTATGGGAAATCCTGTGGAAAAATCACCTTTTCCCATCCCTTGCTGTGTGGTTATGGATGCAGCTTCAGAGATCCTGTGTTCCCGGAGCGTGGGTCCTGGAAAGACCTACAGAATGAACGGGGAAAGCATCGCAGGTTTTGTATGCATGCAGGTGTCACGGCGTAGTGTTCACTCTGGTCCATACTGACTGTTAAGAGCGTGTTCTACTCTGCTGTACTTGTGAGGCAGCTGATGATCCTTTGGCTTGCAAAGAGACCGTCTTCCAAGTGCCCTGCACCGGGTAGTGGTGTTCAGTGCCCTGGACACGTCCGTGCGGCAGCCGGTGCACGGGAACGTGGCATCTGCCCGCAGCTTGCTCGTGCGTTAAAGCYGAAGGAGTTTTATAGGAATAAAAGGAGTAGCTAGGAAATAACAAACTAGCCAGGTTTTGGGGGATATTTTAATTAACCAATCTGAATTGCTTGCAAAAAAATGGATGAGTAAAAACGACAAGTGAACCTCAGTGCTGCGGAAAGCAGAGCTGTGCATGTGAGAGGATGTTCATCTGTAAACACACACAGTAATGAATTGCAAACGAGTTACTGAAATCATAGCACTCTTGCTTATGCTTCTTCTTGAAAAAGACTGACTTATCCCCAAAAACGRGTATGAACCCAGGGCAGAATCTGTAGAAACAGTATATTTCAAAATTTTAATTTTTGGTTAAAACTTAGAACCCCCAAAGTCTTACTTTTTTCAATAATGTTTCCATCTTGGGGATTTTTTCTTCTCSAGTACCTTGTAATAAAGCATTTGGGCTAGGGGTTCACAGCCCCTTTGAGGAGTGTGAGTTGTCCCTCCCTTAGGTGTGTTTGAGCTTTCTGCAGTGTGTTCGCTGCAGTCCTGCTCGACGGCTTCCTGGTCTTCATGGTTGTTTTTCCCCATATTGTTTGACTTAGCACATAACGCTTTCCCAGTGTTTGGTTTGCTCRTTTACTGTGCATTGTGACTTAGAGCGTGTTTAAAACAGTGATAACTTGCAGTGCTTAAGGAAACGAGGAGCTCCATAGGTAACTTTGTGTTAATACCCTGCTCCTGCRCTGGCTACTGCACGTGCTACTCGTTGTTCATGGGCGTAATGCAGCCTGTTCCTGGGGTAAGCACCCTGGAATAAGGGTAGTTTTCCCACGTAATGCCGAGTTGGGGCTCCTCCTGTTGCTGCCTGCGATGGTTCCTCCCATTAACACCTTTGTTTTGCACCCCGTGCAGGACCGTTGACTGCAGGACAGTTCCATCGCTCCTACCGAGACAGTTTATCCCCCTACTCCTACGTCTCGGCCRCGTCCCAGAGCCAGAGCACTTTGCCATCCAAAGGTGCCGATCGGACTCCCATCCCTTCCAGGACGTGGCAGAACTCCCTCGGCTTGGTTCCGGGGCACATGGAGGCTTCCCCCACCTTTTCGGACAAAGGGGTGGCCTTTCCTGTGCTCCAGAGGTTTCCAACCGAGGTCACGTACACGCTGCAGCCCAGTGCCTCCCCCATGCACGTCCAGCAAGGGGCTCAAACGGTGGCCACGTCTCCCCCGAAGTACAGCAGCTACTCCTCGTCCGTGCAGTACTCGCAAGCCTACTACCCAACAGGTAGGGCCTTTTATTGCACAAGGATGTTTTAAGTATCACTTTTATGTCTGTGTYTACAGTGACTTTTAATACAGATGTATTTCAAGTGGAGACTAGCTGGTGTCATGTCCTCTCTTCCACTTAGATTTTATGGCAAAAAGTGTTTTCAAAATTCAAACGGAGGACAAGACTACAAGAATATGAAGCACAAAAATCTGTGTTCCCTGCTGAGGAGTTTAAAGGGTGAGGGGGGAGAAAAAAAAACATTTGTCCAGAACTAATTGGTGTTAGCCTAACTTTCACTTTTTTTTTTTTTTTTTATTCCTCTCTTTGATTAAGGAACATTGATGTCGATATTGTTTTATATATATATATCCATTGATATTGGACACTGAGAACTGGTTGAAGATAAACGTAGAAGGTCCTTGGTCTCATGTTTAAATCTGTGCCACAATTTTCATTTATTCTTAACACTTTTCTTGCCTTTTTTTTTTTTTTTGGGGTATGCTTTGTGCTCCAAGGATGGGAGAGCAACAGCAGTTGTGACTACTTTCTCATTTTGTCTAAGAACAATTTACTGAAACTTTCAATGCCACTTCAGACAAGTGATTACTCCCCAGAAGAAGAGCTGTTGAAACAAGTTACTGTTCTCCTGCTCCACCTTGCTTTGAATTGGAAAAATATTGTAATTCCTTTTTTTTTCCTCCTTGAACTTCTGAAACACAGAACATAGCGACTCTTCCTTTGAACAAACTGAACCCCAGTTATTATTTGTGCCTTCTGCCTGTTCCTCCCTTGGCAGCTGCTCCCTCACTGAGTCACCTGTCCCTGTTTAGACATCCTAAATGCGGTGGCTGCTGATTTCACTGTGTGCTGCTTCTTGTGGGAAGACTTCACACGTGTTCTGTGCTGATCCCACAGCTCTGCTGAAAATGGGAGCCCGTGTTTCAACCATCGGTTGCTACAGTCTCCTTAACGCGTGTGACTCCAGAACCCTTCCGTGTTGACACGTGGCTCCCGTGGACTCTCCTAAGGGCTTACGAGGCAGGTGACACTTGTCACAGGCACCTTGCCATGTGCTGCCTGCAGAGATCGCTGAGCTGCAAGTTCCTCCTGGAGTGGAGTATCCTGCTGTGGGTGGGAGATGCTCTCTGACGGAAGCRTCATCTCATGGTTTCTGCTTCATCTCCTGGTTTCTGTCAGTTAGCAGAGCKAGGTTGGAGGTGGTCGTACTGCATTTCACATGAGCTGAATTGCACCTGAGCTAGTCCCTTGACAGGAATGGGCATCTCTAGGGTGTGATTCATCCTGCTTGTTTTAAACTTGGTCTTAGGATGAGATTATTCAAGTCCTGGGAGTGCTTTGTGTGCAGCATTAGCTATAGGGCAGTTAAGGACTAGCTTAGGCTGGATCATAATGTGCAGGCCTCTCTGACTGTGCCACTCTAGTCTCTCCGCCTGGGATTATAAAGGGGGGAAGGAGTCTGCTGTGTTGTTGGATAATCTCTTCCTCTCCTTTAGGGCACCTGCTTGGAAAAAGGATAGACAAAACCTTCAAAAACAAAACACATGAAAGCATATCAAAGGCACAAAAATGAAGGCCTAGTTTAATCACAAAAAGGGAAAGTTATGGATCTGAGGCATTTGGAAGGTCCAATGAATTCATTAGTACTTCTGAGAGGAAAGTGTCTTCATTTCGCTAGAGGGTATTATACATCCCTTCATTTTCAGAATGCCTGAACTCTTTCAGTRTTTTAACATCTGTTTTTGCTTGTCTCTCCTAATCTGTGCGTTATGCTTTTTTGTTGTTGTTTTTTATGCTAAGACATGAGATACAGAAACCTTATTTCATCATACATCCACATGAAAAAGTCTACTTGCCTGCATTGGAAGAGCACTTTCTAGAAGGATTAGCTTGTTTGGAGAATGACAGCTAACCATAAGCTCTGTATTTCGTAAATGATCAGACTGAAGCATGTGTGTTCAATCTCACAGCTGGCTTCTTTCATTTCATTTAATGAAGATAAGGTTTGTGAAGTCCTGTTAAATCAAAGAAGAACTTTATCAAAAGAGTTCTCTTTATGTATATTTAACTTGTTAACTTCAGTGACAAAAAGATTTTCTTGGCTTTTATTGTGGTCTTCCTTGGAAGGACAAGAGAACAGAAGATGCTGATCCAAATTCTGTTCTCGCTTGCATTAGAGTGTAACTGTCTCAAAGATTTAGTCCTATTTGCTTTTAGGTATCTGAAAAACCTTTGATAGCAGTAGGATTGCATCAAAGAAATGTCGTGAAGCTTTCCTGTTACGAAGAATCCTAATGATGAAAAATCAGTCAACGAGACCATGTCGGAAACATCACTTACTGGTTGCACCTGATGTGGCTGGTCTGATCACGCCTTTTGAAGACATCTGTGGAGCTCATTTAAATGTGATAACTTCTCTGGTGAATGATAGCTTAGGAGTAGTCATTCTAAACGACACATGATCTCTTATGATAAATATATTTCTTTGGATGTAAAGTTTAACATTCAGTAAGAATTGGATTTTTAAAATAGAGAACCAGCTGAAAAATCTAGTAATTGTTTTAACACGGCATAAAATAGCACCATGTTTCTCCTTGAGAAAAGGAGAGTTAGCTGGGTTAGTAATGCACTTGTAAAACTAGTAGTAGGATTCATCTTGCCTAAGATTCATCTGAATGTATAATAGTTACTTGCATATGTCTGGGCTTGTCGTCTGCATTACACGTATAGCCAATAGAGAGAAACAGGCACCTCCCAGAGCTTGACTCATTCTTGCTTTCTCAGACATAGGCCTTTGGAAGACAGTTTATCCCTTCCTGATTTCTTCATTAAGGGAATGGAGTGTGTAGGGAATGGAGTTTCTAGATGTTTGAGTCTAATAATAATGAGATTAATCCCAAGATATTTCAAACAATATTGTCATTTCCACCTCCTCTTATTAAAAAGATTTTAAATGGATTCTTTTTCATCGGTCTTTTGTTTATTGCAGGCCTGCAGTCTGCTTCTTTTTTTTTGTATTTAGGTCCATTACTCGCTTCCATTTGGGTTTATTGATCTGTCAGGAATCAGCCGTTTTCCACAAATTCCTGCACAGCTTTGGGCTCTGTTAACCCAGTTGTACAATAAATAATTAGCTGTCCTTAGGCATARCTTTCAGAAGTGAAATGAAAGGATGTTCCCCAGGCGCTTCCTTGGGTGTGTAGCGTGCAGCACATGCCGGAGGGCAGTGGGAAAGCTGGTTAGGGCCAGTTGCACTTGTTGCAGTTGCCAATTGCACAGAGTTGTCACCCCTCACTGATGGCCCTCACAATCTTAAATGCACAGGGAAGGCCATTCCCAGTGGATCTTTGGAGAACGTGACMGTGGTTATTGGAGCTTGGTGGAGATCTGCTCTTGATTGTACTCTTTCTGTATAGATTTTGGGTGTTTCAGCTTTCTTGGTTTGGGTSAAGTGTGGCAGCCCATAAAAAGCCCAGAGGCCGCTCTGTCATTGGGTATGTTGAGCTGTAAGCATGGTGCTTTTTTGATGTGTTAGACTCTGATTATATCTGAGTTCTAACTTCTAGGTACATTTGACAAGATGCGTCTTTGTTGAGACTGACTGCACCCAAGAATATCTGGCTGTGTCTATGCCCGTTTATTAAACGTGTGCTAGGGCGAGTTCCTGGCTACGAGATCGTCATTGTCCGTAACATTAGATTGTCCTCCTGGTTGCCACTGTCCCCTAAAACTGCTGTGTTTAGTTCAGGGGTTGGCATGGGCTGGACACCTGGAGAAGGGATCTCAATCTCAAAGTGACACAGATCTCCCTCCTCCCGAGACAACACGAGGAGTTTCATTTTGTCACAGCGATTTCGAGTTTGCTTAACAGGGTGACTCACAATTTGCATAGGATATGTTAAATGCAGTTTCTCAGCAATCTGCTTTTCTAATCTTGGACAAAAAAAAAATGATGAGATTTGATACTCTTGTGTGTGTGCATRTGGCCTGCAACTCTATTTGGGTAAGCACTTGTCCTGGATCCCTCGTTGCCTCTCAGAGCCTGGGTTGTTTATCTTCCAGAAGCTGGATGTTACATCATTCCTCAGCTTTCAGACTTCTAGTGACTAGGTCGATGCAGTACGTTCTGCACATATCTTATAAGTATCATGAGCTTCTGAAAGCAGAATTAATGAAATTAATTTCATTAATACTATTGATAGCCAACTTCAGAATGGTTTTAGTGATACGGGTATTATGTGATCCCTCCGGCTAAATATCCCTTTTTTATTTGCATATAACTCCCTGAATTTCGCTAGTGTCAAGAAAATAGGGCTTAATGAACACCTGAGTATTTCTCTAATGAGCAGTTCTTGACTTTGAAGATAAGAAYGTTGGCCTCAGTCAAACCCAAACCCTGCAGGTCATCCTTCCCTCTGACAGTAATGCTCARAGAAGAGTGCAAGAGTAGAACAGGCAAGGGCTGATGCTTTTCCAAAGTGCTCCTGCAGTYTTGATTTGAAGAGTTAATTAGCTTGTGGGAGGGTTTATTATTATTTAATAATTCTCAGTGGATTTCACTGTCCGTTTTCCCCGTTGATGCAGGCGTGTTGCATATGCAGCATTTACCTCCACGCTGAAGGGTCCTGCTCAGCTTAGCTGTTTCTTCAAGGGAACGTTCTGTACCTTTGATCATCCCTGTTGCCCTTCCTGTAGCCTCGTAGCAGTTCGGTGAGATTGCTCTGATCCTCACGGTCTGGCTGAGCCTCTGTCTTTCTCCATTCCTTTTCTGCTAGTTGCTAATAATCCCATTGCTTTGCTCCTGGTTCTTGGAGACACTTTCWGACAGCTGCTGGTGTCTCCTGCAACTATTTACTTTACTGCAAAGATCCCATTCCTCSTTACTGGCATCTGGTTACGCATCAGAGATTATCTATGTGTTTATTGACCCCCTCCCTTACCGTCAGATACTAATTATCCGGTGTCYAGTAATTCTGTATTGTATTATACTTTCTTCTGTTTTTCTTGTTTAGCTGCCAGGATTTCTCACTTCTAAATGTTTTTCTTGATGTGCTTTTAAATAAGTTCCTTTTAGTCTTGACTTCTTTGCTTGAGTACTTTGCAACTTCTTTGGAAATTGCAGTGTATTTTCAGTATGTGTGAAATCTGGCTACATGCAAGAAATACTGTAATGCAGGAGCTTCAGTCCTTCCCTCCTCCCGTGAGCTGTGGTGTTCTTTGAGCTCTGCCTGTTTGTAAGTGTTCCTTTCTGATTCAGTTATGGTCCTGCCGAACAGCAATTCCGTTTTCAGAAAGCAGAGTTCATTTTCCACATATTTTGTCCTAAAGACTATGAGAAATTGCCCATCTGTAGCTTGTATGAGCAGAAGTAAGTCTCCCTTTTAAAAGGGCACAAAACAATTCTCAGTTATACTTGCTTGATGAAGAGGGCTGTATTTTTTATAACTTAGTTAAATATTTACTTATTCCCGAAGATACTATTCATCCCTCTGTGCTCAGGATTCCAATAAGAATTATGCCTACTGTCAGTTATTTCGTAACAGCTGATGACATAATTGCTTTAGCTTCTTATTTTCTCCTGTGTATCACTAYGTTAACTATGTCATGGACAGAAGAGATGAGAAGTTTCTTCCACACAGTGAACACAGTAGGATGAAGGCACGTATTGAAGCCAGGATCTTCGTGTTCAGGAGGAGTTGACACCTTCTCTGAGAACCYCACCCGTCAGTAGACAGGCCCTGTGCGAAGGGCTGGAGCATCTCGTGCTTTGATGTGGCGATTCTCGGTGCTTGCTTCAGAGCTGCATTATCCAGAAATTGTCTGGATGCAGCTTCCACGTCCTGCTGTTGCTGTGTTGGAGCACTTCTCTAAAACTGGCCTCCGTGTTAGGGTGACTTTGCTTCCTAACCGACTCTTTCTGCTCCTGGTCTCTGTGATATTTCCAAAAATGTGGCTGTTCTTGTTCTTAGACCAGTCATTGCTAAAACCCATGTTGACCAAAAAAAAAAAAAAAAAAAATCTTGTGAATGCAAAATGTTCTGTTTATGCAGCATTCTCCATTTCGGAAACATTCTGAATTTGTCTTCAGTTTTTGTTCTTCTGCACTATTATTTTTGTTCCTCTCATGTTGATTTACAAGCACAATAATCTACTTGATTAATGAGTTGCTGTTGTCACAAGTTCTGCTCACTGGGGCAAGAGTTCTGCCGTTTCTCTTGTAGCATTTTGTGCTTACAGTTTGCATGTAGTGTTTTACACTTACCTCATGTTTCACAAGCACTTCTTCCCTTCAGGTTCTTGCTTTTCTTTCATCAGAAAATATATATTTTTTCCTAATATGATCTCTTTTTTCCTTATTCACTGTAATAGGGTAAGAAAAACATCTTCGTAGGTCATTGTTCTCGTCTTGTTTCTGCAATAGCCCCTCCAACCCTTTTTGTTTTTTTTTTTTTAATGGTATATGTGTTTTTGTTTCCCCCTGCTCCTTGGTTTTGTAAGCAGTCTGTGGAGTATCCGGTAGGTGAACTATCTCTTAGCCCATATATCATTTAAGCAATACCCAGCATAGGAGAAAGTTCCCATGTCATAGAAGAATCTCCTGACACCCAGACTTCATCCTGAATTGGCTTTTGAAGCTACATAAATTATACACGTATCATAATTCTTTAGAGGGATATCATCAGTAGCTTTTTCTTTCCCATTTCACTCCCATGTTTATTGCTCCCAGCTGCACAAAAAGTCTGCAACATTATATATATATACATATATGTGTGTGTGTGTGTATATATATATATATATATAGTATGTAATCCTTCTTTACATATGGCAGTTGTAGGTGCTGTCTCATGGGAATCCCCCTGCAGATGACAAACATTGTAAATGAATTTCTGATCTGTGTTTACCACTTGGTTATGCTTAGTACTTACTTATACTTAGTACTTAACTATGATCTTGCCACGGAGTAATCTGAGTTTGAAGACCATTTTAAAGATGGTCTGTATTGCAAATAAAGCCTTTACCTTGAGGATCTTTTCACCAAAAATAATACATGCAGAACACTGCCTCATCTGCAAAGCTGCATTTCAAAATAAAATTACTCTTTAATTTCAATATATACATATGAATTGCTAAACTCTTTCCAAGTGAATCAGCTTCCTGTGTTATGTTCTGATGAAAAGGGCAGCATTTTAAGGTTGTCTTCCAGCAAAGCTGGTTCCAAAAGGTGATGCACAAGAGGGGTAGTACACGAAAGGTTGTGATTGTGAAGTGTGTGTATGTCTACTTCAGAATATGTATATATATCAATAAATATTGTTAAGCTGATTCATTTGGGAGGTAATAATACATTTCTGGAATTTATTTTTCAATATGATTTTTAAAATGTTTAATCAAATAGAGCAGTAGAAATGTGTTAGACCAAAGGCTGGTTTAGGAAGTCTGATCTGTGTGTTTGGATTCTTTCCAGCTGTTCTGCAGTGCTGTTCAACCACCCACATAGATCCTCTGTCTGGCTGTGCTACTCCTACAGCCTCAGCCTACACCCACTGCAACTTTTTCCAGGTGAGTGTAGCCCCGGAATCCAGGTGCCAGCAGAGCCATACCCATGCATGAAGGCTTTATGAACTGCTAGGGTGAAGGGTATGCCTTTTAAAGTTGAGGAACTTGAGTAAGTTAACAGCAAGGTGCTCAAAATATCCATTTCCGAGAACCACAAAGTATTAMATAAGTAGCTTTGTGTTTTTTAATTCTCAAGTTAACATCATAGCAGATGTCCTCGTCAGTGGAGTGTTGAAATTGGAGTGTTGGCTTCACCAGGGTTGGTTTTAGCGAATGAGTTTAATGTTGAAAAGTGTCCTTATCTGGGGAAAATGAGCTGTTTTGATATCACAAGAATATTGGGAAGCAGCTCCACATCTTGTCCCAGGCAGCTTTCTGCACCCCTGAGGCTCATCTGGTGAATGAGAAAACCATGTCTAATTTTCTCATCCGAAAAGTGACTTTTGGAATTGGCCCCACCTCAGAGGTGTCATGTGGAAATAGCTAGAGTATTTATTGAAAATACTTTATATAACTCCAGTGGAAATGCAGCTAGTTTGGAGAGTAAACTTTATCAAATACTGARAAGTTTGAAGTAAAATTGCAAGAGTTTCCCTTGGCATTCCAACGTAATGCATATACATTCCTCCTYGTAGAGGACAAGCAAAGCAAGTTATACTTGTGTGTTGAAAAGGGGCTGACTTGCCCAACCTTGATTACCCAGTTCCCTTTCTTGCAGATATCAACCTTTGTCTCGTACTCAGGATCTTTTATGCAGGTTTATTCAGGATGGCCGGGCTGTGGTCAGGATAATTTGCTGATAGAAGGATATAAATAGTCACTGTCCAGCCATCCACTGCATCCTGTAGCATGTAGCGTCTTTGTCCTCTCGCCTTAGTCATAAGGTTGTGTAAATTATTACCAATAAAAAAAATGGGTATGTGAACCCAGTGGGCAACTTTCGGAAGTCAGAATCAAGTAATTTCTGGTCTTGGAAGGCTTAGATTGATGACTGGGATAGCAAATCATTCAAAGAGAGTAATCAGGGATGTTTTCAGGGCTAGATTGACAGCAATGGTGCCAGAGTAACTGAGATAACTTATGTACTCTGTCCAAAGAGTCTAGTAAAAGTGAACAGTTTGGAGAAGCAAGTCTGTGGGGGTGTGTGGAAGCCAAGATGTTTCAGGTCACTTTACCTACCTGTGCATAAGCAGATAATAAAGCTCTAACAAGGGAATTCCAGTCCAAAACTGTTGGTGAGTCAGGAAGCTGCTTGAAGATCTCTGTGTGTGCAGCTCTAAGGTAAGCAGTGCTGTCCATCAGCTCAACCAGAGGAGTAACGGGATGTCCCTGGGCTGGGTGAGACAAATACATAAATGGATCAACAAGACTTCTCAAGAATCTCGAGTCTCTTGGTGGAGAGATCGTGTGGATCGTGTCCCCTGGGGCATGGGGCAGGACAGTCCAGAAGGCAGCACGTTGTCTGAAGATGCACCGAGCTGTGGAGAAGAGTCAGCTTTTCTGGGCTCTAGTGTAGATGCTTCCCCAGACTTTGCTGAGGGATGTGGCCAGCTGCAGTACAGACTGTCCTCTCCTGGCTTTTTGTTGATCATCGGCCACCACGCACACAAATCCTGAAGAGCAGTATTACTATCGGAGGAAGCCAACTCRGGGCAAATAATCACAGTCATCTTTTAGCTTCCTGGAGAACAGAACTGGCATGTTGCTTTGTTCCATTCATATCTTCCACCAGTCATTGCAATTCAATACAAAATTAGAAAGGAGCCGTGTTCCTAAAGACTTGAAGGGTGTTTTGAGGCTGTTTTATCAAACCGTACCCTGTTAGATACCACTAGCATCATCTGCACAGAACTGCCAGAGCTGCTGGGCTTGTAGCGTTCCCACCGTAGCTGCTTGGGCTGTTAGGTGCTTCTGACTGGGGCATGGAGAGACCAAGTAAGAAAAGTCTGCGTTTGCCCAGACGGGCTTCCCAGGACAAGCTCCAGAGAATTCCTGCGGGGGAATGYGGATGGTGATGCACACACAGAGCAACTCACTGGGGTATCCCACTGCTGAGCTTGCTAAACCAATGCTCATTTCCCATCTTCAGAGGAAAGCAACGGGCTTTGGAGAGGGAGGCCTGGCCATCCCCTGCCACAGCTGTTTTGGCAAATCACAACTGCTGGTACCGTGTTTCAGTGCTCCTTTATCGTAGCCATCAACTCGGCTCCATGTTGATATTTTATTTGTTATTAACAGATTTGCAAATTGATCGATGCTGCTCSTGTTTGCTTAACTGCCGTTATTTTCCCATAGAAATGAAGAAGTAACTGGCAGTAGAAATAAACATAAGTGAAGCAAAAAGGCAGGCAACTTCCCTGACGTTAAAAGCAGTCCTGTGGTTTTTTGCTTTTATTTGTAATGATAGTCAGCCGTATTATTTTGAAATGAAATGGACCTTGGATGACTGCTGAGAACTTGCCCAGCTCGGGAGGCAGATGCAGCTCCACASAGATTGCCCGGATTAAATGTATTTGTGCTTACCCTTCCTTTGCACCCTTTGTGTGTCTTATACAAAGCAAAGTGCCCGTCTTCTCCTTCACTTAATCATAACACTTTTTCTCCACGGGAAAGCAGCAACTTAATCTTTTGATCCCTCATTTCTCAGTCTTTACCATTTTTTTTCATTGCTGCCTTCCCTCCTGGCCTTATCTGTCTCATCTTCTCAAGAAAATTGAATATATTTGTGTCTTTACATGGGCACTTTCCCCCACTGGAAAGGCAGGCTAGATCCAGGAAGATGGTATTCTCAGGCAGGGTTATAACAGCCTCAGTCCGAGCTGTGCTAGCAAAGAGTAGGGAAAGCCACTTCTTAAAACCTTTCATTTATTTATTTATTAATCTGTTGGGGATTATCTTGTCCTTGGATAATTGATTTATTAACCCTGGTCTTAATTATAAGTCCTAGCAATGTAAGAAATTAAGTCAATAATGCAACAAAATTAAAACACCTTTTTTTAACATTTAAAAAAACATAATTGAAAAAAGTGGAAATAACTGAGTTTAAATCTGTATCCTGAAAGATACTAAGATGTATTCCTTTTAGTAAGAGATTTTGCCTGACCTAACCTAAGCTTTTGCGATTCAAGTTTTCTTTTCTCTTTTTGGTCTTTTTTTTTTTTTCCTCTCCCTTTAAAAGTCTATGATTTTCTGCATACAAACGAAGAAGGGATCTCAGGATCCTCTCACCTCTGAGTATTTCCCTCAGAGACTGTTGATGGTCTTGCTGCTGCTGAGAGACGTTTGCCATGATAAGACTTTCCTAGTAGGTGATCCAGTGGCTTYCTGCCCTCTAATTTATTCATATGTAGAAATGGCTTTTTATTAGTAATTACCTAGCTAGGGGGTCTGGGCACAATCAGCCATTAGTGACTAAATCATAACACTAGGCCTTTTTTAAAAAGGGGGATATATTTCAGACACATTTGAGCTCAGTGTCATCGTATGACATCTGTTCCTCAGAAGAAATTACCCTTCCAGTCTCTTTTAAATATGAGTCATCTCTAGAGCAGTGCCAGTGCTGCTAGAATGTGATTTATCATTTAATTTGGGTAGAATTTTACTGCTTTTGGAAGAGTCTTCATTGTTTTCTTTCTGCATTGACAGATTTTTGGTTTTATAACTTGTACCGAAAAAAAAAAAAACCACCAAAAACATTAGATTGCCGATTGTATCTTGACATGTAATGATATTTTTAAATGAAAATTTTATAGTGTTCAGACCTTCCCTTGGAGGGCAAAGGCAGCCTCTCCAGATTCCTTAAGAGGTGCCTCTGGCCTGAAGATCTATGAGGCTTTAACGTTGACCTGCATAGACTTGTGGTCAAACATTTGTTGAACGCTCTGAGCACTGATGTGGTGGAAGTATCCGGATGGGAGACCATGACAGGGCAGTACTACAGTATTTGTTTTTGTAGGCATCTGAACATTCATTCTGGGCCTGGAGCACCTCTGGGGATCARTGTATGGGCATCACTTGAAGAACAAAAGCAGGTGGTATTGGTAAGTAACTGGGTGTTCCTCGAGCCCTGTTTCCACATGCATGTTAAGAGTACGTGCCTTTTTTCTCTTGCTCAAAACCCTTGTGTTTTATGTTCTTATATTTTAACAGGAAGCTTGAGTTTTAGAAGATTTGAAGGCAGGTACCTGTGTTGTGTTGTTTTTCTGTCACTTGTGTGGCATGCGAAGGGCTTGGTCTCATGTGCCCCCCGCTGAGGCCAAGGTCTCTGCTTTGGGTGCTTGGGTGTGTGTGCACGTGCAGTGGACAGGGCACGTGGGTGCGCGTCGAAAAGGGCACCTCGCCACTGGTAACCAACCCTCCTCTCTCTGCAGGAAAGACAACGAATGGAAGCAAGTAGGCCTGCAGCGAGTAGCATGGCTGAGGAAAAGCCAGGCRCAGGGGCAGCACCCTCCTTTTACTAGACCTGTTGATTTAGCTGAAAATAACWAAGTGTTGAATGTATGAGCCCTTGAGTTGATGGCCCCGCTTCRCTGACAGAGTCTTCAGGACATGTGCTGCCATTTTAACCTTTTCATATTGAAGTTCACTGTGTTTTCTTTCTGCAGAATCCTCCAATGCAGTCATCTTACACAGTTGAATTTCTGCCCTCTACCTGGCCATGTAGCACAGCTGAGGAAAACAAGAAGTCCGAAGTGAATCTTGAAGCTGTGTTTCAGATTGTTGATGAAATGCATTCATCCCCCAAAGTGGAAATGGTAAAGGTGGAGCCTGTGGAGAGCCAGTGTTCAACCCCTCAAAGCAAAGGCCAACAGCTGCTGGTTAGTGCTGAGAACAGTGAAACACCTTCCTCAAGTGAGGCCAGTCGCCTGGAGCCTCTTACACCCGTGGCTTCAGACATTACATCGTTTGTGATGGGAACAGATTCTCTCCCTCAGCCTCCGGATTTTCTCTACGCTATCCATACCCCTGAGTCTGTAGAAGGTGCTTCTGCTCAGATAGTGCAAGAATCCGTGACCGCCCAGGAGGCGCATGGAAAACTGAGGGAGCAGCTGGAGCATTCCCCAAATCAGTCCTCGGAAATCTTTGTTGAGGAAGAACAGCCGTTCAGCGCACAGCAGGTAGGGGTTAACTGGGCATGCTGAGGAGAGCAGCACTAGATGTTCTTGAGTTAATTACAGCCCATAGTCCTGCTGGCTCTGCACTGATAACTTTTTCAGATTCTTGCATACTTAAAGAGTGAAAGAGTTCTTTAATTGGGCTTTTAATGGACAGTGAGTGAAGGGTTTGTTTGGGACAGCGAGGTGAAGGGAGAATAAAAAGGCAAAGTACCCCACACTGATGAGTGTATTAGCTTGTAAGGGCCAAGTTGTACCGTGGTTTTACATGATGAAGCAGAAACTTTCTTTGATTATAGCATCCTATCTTTACTGTCCATTAAGAAAGAGTATTTTGAGAGTTGCAAAGGTTTCTGTTCACAGTTTAGGTGGTCAGGTTGCTACTGACTAAACAAGYGCTTATTTTGCATGGAAGTTGTTTAAAATTTTAACGGTGTAAAGCATTTTCATTTGTTTATTCCTCAGGGGTCTGACGGGTTGTAGTTTTAGTTTGCTTTTGCCTGCGCTCCAGTCTGCTCTAAAGACAAAAGTGTAAATCTTGCATGTGGCTAACATCTGGAATAGAATTTGTTTTGATGTCATATTTTATTTGGATAATTTTGCATTTTTAGTTTTTCAGTGCTAATGCTGCTTCTTTGCTGGCTAATCAGAAACTCCTCGTTTCAGATAAAGGCCCCCTCTCACCTCCGGCCATTCCCTGTAACGATGGGCGTTCTAACCCTTGCTCGGTTAAGGTAGCAGGTGCATGCTCTCTTTTTATTTATTTTGCACATCAAAAGCAGTCACATTTCACTACATGACTGAGGAAATAGGCAAGTTCAGTAAATGGGTGCCTGCAACATACATATTGAGCAGCAGCAGAGGGCTCCAAAAAGCAAGAAACAACATAAAAATTGAGTGTCTTTAACAGTGGGATGTATGAGATCTCCCACCAGAGATGTGTGGCTTGCATTTGTGGTTTTGTATTACACAGCTCTATCAAGTCGTTTCCCCYAAGTGTTACTAATACAGCTGTTGGGTACCAGTGAATGCAGCTGGAATTTTTGTATTTAAGTTCTCTTAACTACTTTTGTGACCAAGGAAAAGGTTCAGGCTGTGAGGATGTGTATCTTTTAGCTCTGTGTGTCCTGATTTTCTGACTTGGTGTTTTGCTTAATATGATGTTTTGTAAGGGCTGGAGTTACAATTTGGTAACCTTAGTTCTGAGTTGAAAACACTTATGAAATTGGACGAACTATTACATAAACCATCTAGGCAGTGTTCAACATTTGTTAATATCCTTTGGAGTGGAGAAAAAAACGTTATGATTTAGTTTTATGAGTTGATAACAAGAAAGTTTTGAGTAATCTTTGGTTTTCTTTTCATTTTCTTAAGATGGATCCTAGTATTAAGTGTCCACCCAGTCTGGCAGACACAGGCGTCTCTTCAGAACACTTAGGAGTCTTCACTTCAGGAGCTGGACCCGTGAACAAGTCCGTAAAAGACACAGTTTCTTCTGTACAAACTAGAGGCAGGGAGAGAAGAAGCAATTCACAGAAGGGCAAGTCACCTGGTAAGAAAATAGTCTAGGTTTTTCTAGAGTTTACCCAGACAGGTTGCATGGAAGAGGATCRATGCAGAAAGGGAGAGCAAGAACTATTTAAGTCTCATTGTCTACAGTGTAAGTATCTTAGTATCCTTTAGTTAAAATATTATATTGGTGCAGCCTGTTAGTGTACTTACAGCTAGACCTGTATAGAAATGTTTGCATTTATCACTATTATGTGGAAAGGGGAATAAATTATATGAGTAAATAAAATCTGAAATTCTGGGGTTGTTACAATATTGAGGTGAAGTCCATAGGTATGTGTGCTGTACGTGACACTGCTGTGAAGGAAGGTTGAGCAATGAGGAGATGGTTTGAAGCAGCAAAAGAAGGAGCATTACTTTGATGAAGGAAGTATAGAAGGCCAAACTTTTTGTCGCAGATGATTAAATAAGTTTGGTCCCAGAGCGGCAATACATATACTGAATACATGAGAAAAACAAGCAGCAGRAGCTGAACACCAAATCTAGTAACCCAAGGGTCTACAGATCAGAGAAACATCACAGGATGCAGAGACTCCTTTGGATTCATTGTAGAGAAAGAATTGGTGTGGCCTGCGAGTCTTGTAAGAAGCTAATTCCCTCACTACAGATCATCAAAGAATCATCATCAAAAGCCTGAATATGAAGCCTGAAGAGTTGTTGCTACCTTCAGAGGGTAGGGTGTATATTCCAGTTAACACAAGCTGACTTCTTAATTACTATTATGCCCAGCAGTTTCAAACATCTGAGTAAGGAGTGAAATCTTTCTCTCAGCAAGCTGAGAGGGGTTGGATGCCGTTCCGAAAGATGACAGGCTCTCACTGAAAACACAGACTTGAGAATTCTGGTTCAGCAGAATATCTCCATTTTTCAAACTACGGCAAAACATTTGCAAAACATATCCCTTGTGAAGTTATGTGTGGCAACATTTTGGAAAGCATTTCCGTGGGAAATGTCCATAGCATAGTCATTTTTGAGGGTAATGGGATAGTCATCCAAGACTGCATTTCTGCCGTCACACCTCTTGGGCCTGGTGTACATGGAAAGTCCAGAGACACCTGAGCTAAATGTGGCCGTGCTCAGAGTGGCTGGAAATAAACTCGCCTGGTGATACAGGCCTTGAGACCAGACTTCTCAGCTGTAAGCCGGTGGAGTTCGGGATGAGCCGAGCCCTGTTGCTCTTTCTGCGCTCGCCCGTTGGTGCCTCCTTTCCTGTGAGGCCTTAGAAACAGCTTCTTCCTTGACCTCTCTGAGCTAGAATGGTGCCCGATGACAATTTTCAGTTGTTTCTTCAAATCTTATTCTGTTCTTTTCTTCTTTTTCTTTGGCACCCACTTGCAAGCTTCCGAGCCTAGAGTTGGGTATACAGCCTGCTAGAGAAAAAGCTCTTGTTCGATCCCTTCCAGCAGGCCTCTGGCGTTACCCACTTCCTTGTTACACCGGCATGAAGTTTTAGCCAGCGTATGACAAGAGCCAACRTAACGTGGTACAAAAGCCATTGCAGTGAAATGGAAGTAAAAATGACTGGAAGCAAATGTAGGCCAAAACCAAGGCTGTAACTCTGTAAAATGAGGCAAGAGTCGCCACATTCATTGTGGAGAAACATTATTTTCTTTTGAAGAACCAGACTGGATTTCTTTACCTGTCCTGTGGCAAAAGAGACATCTGTTGCCCCACAAAGATGCAATCCCCAGGATTCCACCCCATGTCTGCCAGCCTAGCTCTGCATCATCATAAATCAATGAAATTGTCGCCTTCAAAGCAGGAGGTTCATCCTGAGCCAGTTTTCTCAGCAAACATCTGGTTTACCTGTTTGAGAGTGTCCTGCCAAGCGCGATGGGATGAAAGGTCTCTCTGCCCTAGCAGCCAGTCTCCAACAGCATCTTCACCGTTTTTGTACTAAGACAGAGGGCAACAGTTTCGTCTTCCATGAGTCTGTGGAAGCCATATACACTTTTAGCATCCGTAATGTTCTATGGGAATCCATGTAATTAGCATAGGTAAGTATACAGCGATTGAGGAGCACTGGTTTTGTTTTGAAACTGATAATGGATTTTGGTACTTTCTAGAAAAGCAAATTTCTTGTTTAATCCAATTTTTTCAGGTTTTATTTCTGCTCAGACTCAAGTCTGGTTTTTTCCCTTTTTTTTTCCTGTTTTTTTTTTTTCTTTTTTCTTTGTGTTTTGATGTACATTTTTACTGGTAGCAGAATGTCAGTAAGAGTGTTGTTTTTTCTCATATTTAGTGTAAAATTTTCTGGCTTGTTAAAGAGCCTGGTCTTTTTTCAGCTCCCCTGTTAGTCATTTGTGAGTGAGGGTCATTCAGTTCCTGCCCTGAAGTCCCTTTTGGAGATGTCTCCCTCCCTGTTTGCTAGAGAAGGAGCCTCTTTTACACCAAGTTCCCCAACATAGTCAGTGACGGTAGGTACCTTAAAGTTCATAATGTCAAATGCAGCCTTAAGCTTTAATCTGCATTTAAATACACACAAATAAGAGCATTCCCTGCTTATATGGCTATGTTGGTATAGCAGTGATTACAGTAAAGAATTATTTTTTAAAAAAATCTCCTTTTGCTATATTCTTCACTGGAGCAGTTGTAGTAGAGATAGTACTTCTAGATTCATTCTTCCTCTCTCTATTGTTGTTGCATGATTTAAATTTAGTCTCAAATTCATGGCTTTTTCTTGAGCAGACTTTAGAAACTTGTTTGTAGTTTGATTTTCCTTGCATTTAGTGTGTCCAAGCCAATATAAAATGACATTTTTTCAGAAGGTACTGTTTATTTTAGGTGCCTGACGTGAGATACSTTGGAGTCTTTTCTAGAGATTACTCGAAAGCTGAAGTCACAGGCTCTTTTAGTCCCATAAATAAAATCACAAAGACCACATCATCTGCAGTGGCCGTGAGTCATTTGCCTTGGTTACCAGTCATCACCTCCCCGATCCTGAGCATCTCTGAGAGGTCATACAGTTATATGAGACTTTCATTTGGAGGGACTTGAGGTCCTTCATAGTCTCAGAACGTTCTTAGTCTTTCTATATCACTCAGTATTTAACCACATCATTTAAGACAGCAGTTCTGGTGTGAAGTTAAGTAATATTCCTTCATCTTATCCTTCCTCCTTCCCAAAAGAGTAAAGAATAACAACTTCAGGTTAGTGGGCCCTGGATTCAGTGCTGACTGAAATCCCATCCGAATCTAGCCTATAACCACCCCTTTCTTCTTCAAAGATGCATTTCCCAAGAGATTATTGAGCTGTCCCTAAATGCAACTTGAAGATACGAAGAAGTGACCATGGATCATGGCGCGAGTGGCTTCACTTTGGAACAGATTAGCAAGCCTGAGAATGAGAATGGCCTGAAGGTTGTCTGCGGTCGGACTGAAGTGCGTGACCTGCTCACACTGCTGTTGCAGCAGAGGTTTCTTGTCTGTGCACGATCACCTTTGTGCATGTAAGTGCCTGCTTTAACCAGATCTTCACTCCTCGTGCACTAATTCTGCGGACCTTACAGTTTGACGGATGGACTCCCCCTCTTTTGGCAGCAGTAGGAAAAGAAGAAATACTTGCTAGTCCTTCTTTTGAGAGTCAGAGATGCAACAGAGGACCCAAAACTTAATTCAGCACTAAAYGAAGCACTAAAATCTGTCATTCTAAGAGTGTAGTCTGCCTTCTTCCATCTTTTTCTTAGGAGATGCTGGATATGACTGTCTAATTCTTGTACTGATTATCACATTGAGGTGTGAGGAACAGTGCACACCTTCCAGGGTTTGCTTTATTTCAATACCTAGAGTATTTCTTAGCACATAGATTTGAGGATGCCCAGGAGTAATTCTTTCTCCACTATGTACTAGTCAAGATCATCTGAAAAATGGGATTTTCAGAATTCAGGTTCAGAATCTGTCCACTAATGTTGGCAGCATCTACACCTGCAACAAGCTGCAAGTCTTTTTGGACTAACAAATGACTAACAGAAACTGTAAATTCCTCAGAAGTGAAGAATTCTTCTTCCTCTCGCCCTCTAGCTCCACTCCATCATTCCCCATGGGCACCCTGAGATAGTGAATGTAGCTGAACTGAGGTAGAGTCTGAATTTGTGTTTCATCATCAAAAAGAGCAGGTAAAATGGGCAATGTTATAATTAGAGATCATTATTTGCACCCCTTATTTCTTGGAAGTTCGATCTTGGAATGGAACAAATAGACTATTTTACTTCTGGATGTAAGCATTTTAAGCATGCTGATACGTTCAGGAAAAATTCTCTTCCTGAAGGCCTGTCTCTCTTTTTGTGAATAGTCTGTYGGTCTTCTCTTTGCAACAGGAATACAAACATAATTTTGAGATGCTATTGACTCAGATTCCTTCTTTTTCTTTATTGTCCTCCAAGCTACCCTAAATACTTACAATGCATTCCCTAGGTGAATACATTTTGAAGTGCATTTGTTGAGGACACATCTTCTTTCAGGTAAGGAATCCTGTGGTACCTTAGTGTCCATTGAAAGTGTTTCCTGTGCCTTCCAGATGGGAATAATTTCAGTGTTCATCTAGCATCTCTAGGAGGTCTCCATGAAAGCTTCCATGGGGCACACGTCCTGGCTCTGGACTCCTCAGCATCTCCTGTGGTTCTGGTTAGAGATGAACGCTCAGGTGGATAATGTTCCCACTGGTAGTGTTGCCACTTTACAAGGCGACTTGTTCATTCTTGACCTCTAGGATGCCAACTTGCACGTTTAGATCTGGCCAGGTGTGCTGGAAGTATCTGCATTTTGCCGTGGGTCAAGGTYATTTTCAGCAAAAGAGTCTTGCTTGGCTTCTCTGTGACACCACGAGTCTCCTCTAGTATCGTGGTCCTGGTCACTGCAGACTTGGAGGCAATTGCAGACTTGGAGGCAATTGCCTCTTTAATGAATAAATGAAAGTCTACACAAAATAAAATGTGCACTTCTGAGGATACGGCTGACCTTAAAGTTTTTACAGTAATTGGTGTTTGGCTGTTGGTACCTGCTGTAGTGAATGCCAAAATAAATAATGTATCTTGAAGAAGGAGTTCACCCAGCTAACTTCTCTTTTAAGGTCTTTTGGTTTTATGGTTAAAATTATGCAAAAAATAGACTAAAACCTATTAAATAGGCTAAATAAGTTGCAAACTGTGAAATTATAATTGCTTTCTAGGCCATATCTTATTAACAGATAGAAGTGCAGTTCCTGTGTGTGCTGCCAAGTGAGATGTATGCAAAGACTAATATTGACTCCGTGTTCTCTTTTCTTCCTAGATCTCCATCTGCTGGTTGATGTAGCTTGCAAGCAGGAGCACTTTCCAAAGGAAGAAATAAGAGAGTGAGAAGTGGGTGACAAGTATGTGAAAATGTGCAGCAGCTGCCAGCTGGGCTCCCTTGTTGGAATCCAGAGGCGGCGCTTTGCACAGACAGGCACTTTGGATCATTTCAGTTGTGTGTTTAAAAAATCTCTCCTTTTTCTTTGTTTTTGTTTTTTAACTTTCATTTTATGTTTGAGGAGAATTAATCTTTCCGTTATTTACACCTCTACATTACACTTTCCACCTTTCAAACCATCTAGCAATCTCAGTATTCAATATAAAATAATAACTTAGCTGCTCGTATTCTCTAGAAATAGCAAGCCTCAGCTTTCTGAAAGCAAGAGGCCTTAAAAGCTTCCTCAAAACGTCCTTAAGCAGGTTGTTTTTAGTGCTGAATTTGGAATCTTTTTATTTAACATTGTTGAGGCTAGAGTATATTCAGCAGAGATGCTGCATGGGCTCTCACTGTCTTTGCCTGAAGTCATACTGTGGCCTTTTAATGGGAATTGTGGACCAAACAGAAGCATAGGGAAGTCACAAGATTCTGGGTCTGAATGGGTCAGAGACTTCAAGAGAGCAGCTATAGGAAAGATGAGCTAATTTTCTAAGTGATTAACCAGGAAATGCTCTTCCTTCCCAAATGCAATGTGCTCTTTCAGCAGCAAATGTCTCCCTTATGGTTACCTATGAAAGCTGCTGATCTCTTACACCAATGGAGAATTCTCCTGTTTTAATAATTTCCTTTTGAGTCTAATGATATCCGTAATGATAGGTTATCTGTTGTTTTCTTACTTTATTTTAAATAGGTCTTCACAATATATTTTTAACTTATTAAATACAATTATATTGGCAGTAGATGTAAGGTTTTTAATAGCTAAGTTTTGTATTTATGTTGAAATATTATTTAAAGGATAAAGGATGCACACGTAGTATTTATGTTGGGTTAGAGTGATATATGGGAAAGAGCACTTAAAACAYAAACTTCATTGCTTCCAGCCTGCTCATACTTATTTTATAATGAGCCAGATGTGTAAATAAGCAGGCTGCACAAGAAAGAAAGAGAAAGAATTTAGACTGCCTCAGTTTTACCCTCTGGAACCTTCTGCAGTTTACAGGTATGTTCARGATGTGCGAAGTGAACACCCAGCAGAAGGATGCACTGAGGTGAAACCTTTAAATACTCGCTAGCCCTCCAGACTAGTCGAATGCAATATGGAAATACTTGTAGGCCGTGACTAGTGGGAGCGGTACTAGACTGATTGTCCTCAGCTTTGCCATGTTTGTAGCACAGCCAGTAGGCTCCCGTAATAAAAGGCGAGGTGTTTGTATTCGTGTCCTCCTTCTCAAAGGAAAATACAAGGAGAGCATCTCTAGCTGAAGGAGAGTATTCTGGTAGTTGAAAGGTGTTTGCTAGTGTAGACGCAGCTCTCCCATCTGAGTCTGGTGTTGTGCTTCCCAGCTGACGTGGCTTGAGGCTGCTGCGTAACGTGCTCAGGGAAGGGTGCAGGTCTGCRTGCTCTAGTTTGTGCCGTTAACAGCAAGAGGGTTTGAGAGCATCAGGCTAGACTCCCTAGAGTCAAGGTGTAAGGAGTTGGAGACCACAAGAATTCAGCCTTGTCGAGCTGAAGTTGCTACCTCTTTAATTCCAATAAAATACGAAGGGAACTTCTTAGCTTGCCTTTCTTGTTCCTCATTGCCACAAAAAGATTTGATGCTTTTGGGGATTTATGGTACGGGAGTCTTATTGTCTTAGATAACGCGGTATCCTTGTAAAGACAAATTATGAAATCCTAGTATTAGAATTTTTAATAGGCTRTTTTTAAAACAGCCATGGAGCTGGATCTCCTGCCATGCATCGTGTGYAGAGCACCCCTGCACATGAGCTGTCTTTGTCCTTAACCAACTCTCTCTGACAAAACTGCAAGAGGGCAAAGGAGAAAGGGCACTCACTACTTTTAGGAGAGTAGTATAAAACTGCACGAGGCCTCCCGAGTCTCAGGTAACCCTCTCGATCGAATGTCTCAGCATTTTAGCACCTTAATGTGAATGTAATTCGGTCAGTAAATAATAAATAGTGACTTCGGTAACAAGATGTGTCTTTTAACTGTCTTTTTACCCATGAGAAAAAGGGGAATTTGGTTTACATCAAAGTTGTTCCTTTACATCCCTGCTTAGGCAACATGGTTGCAGTAGTCTGCAGTAAATGAAACTTTTAAATTTAAATGGGCATTTCTTTTATATTTAATGTGTGTGTTTAAATTACAAAATGACAGATGATCGTAGTGGAAAATAGGTGTTTCGCGCTTCAGTGGCTGCTGCTCACGCTTTTATCAAGACATAATCATTATTACATAGACAAGTTTAAAAAATCAGTGGGCCAGTTTTTCACTTTACGTAACTTCTGCTTTCTGTGGAGTTGCTGCAGGGATGAGTGTGGCTCGCTGGGTAGCTCCAGCAGCCCCTGAGCTCCCTGCCTCTGGAGCCCGCGGTGACGGAGCCTGCCCCTCCACGCCCTGGCTCCATCGCGGCCCTTCTGCAGCCTCCCCATTGCCTCTGCAGTAATTTCGGGGTATCCTCCTCGAGCACTGCTCCATCACACGCCCATTTACACATTTCCAGTTGCAACCTTGCTTTGGGGTTATAGGTCTGACCTATAGTATTATTCACCTCTCAGTGATGTCAGGGGAGAATAGCAGTTGAATTCCAGACCTCTGACATCAGCCTGACCTGAAACCTTCTCGCAGTAGCGACTAGAAAAGGGGCTTCTGAATCTAAATTAGCGCGAGCCAAAGAAAGGCCGCGCGTGAAATGGACAGAGCCCTTCCCAGGGCCCGAGACATAAGGCTGCAATAAATCAGTACGTTCTCGTGCGGGAAGCTGCTTTGGATGCTGGCTCGGTGCCACTCGGAGCGCCCCGGGAAGGCCGGGCGCCGAGCGGGGGCTGGCGGTGACAAACGGCCTCCGTCCTGCCTCGCCCGGCCGCTTTGTGCCCGCTCATCCCCTGATGGTTGGGCGCAGCGTTGGCAGGCGCRGCGGTGGTGCGGGCGGCCCCGGTTCCGTGTGCGCCGGGCAGGCCGAGCCGCGCCGCTGAATGCAGTAAAGCCGGGGAGCAGGAGAGGGAGTCCCGGAGGCCCGAGCGGAGCCGGAGCCGGAGCGGAGCGGCCGGGGGAGTTGCCTCCAGCTGCTCCACCCTCACTTTGTGTCAGCAGGTAGAGCGCCCCGCCGTCCCAGGGGAGGGAGGCACAGAGCCGGGCAGGCAGCGCACAGCCGCAGCCTGGGATTTATCCAGAAGAGCCTGCGCTGACTTCGCAGCACGAGGAAGCTTCCCCGCGGCTGGAGCAGGAAGCCTCTTCCCGCCGCTCCGCTCCCCGTTCCTGCGGGACCTCCGTGCCTGCTCGGTAGCACCCGGCCCGCCTGCCTTCCCCGCTGGCCCCTGTGGATGTTTCCGCGGCTCTTCTGGGGCACCCGTAATTGCGCGCGCCGCAGCGAGCGCAGAGACGTCGCCGGTTCCAAGGGATCATTATTATTTTTTTCTTCCCCAGAAATGTTYTGGGCTGCCTCCTCGAGTCCCTGAGCCTCCGTGCGGACGCTTTGCTCCCAGCCATGCCTGCCCCGGCAGCTTTCTGCCTGCTGTAATTTTCTGCCTTTGATCTCGCTGGAGTCTGCGGCGCGTGGGACCGCGCGCCTACCTGCTGCTGCTGCGGGACGCGGGGCGGCCGCGCGCCCTCCTTGCCGCCACTCGAACACCGGCCCCGTCGGAGCTGCGCAGCTCTCCCGAGCGACTGGAAATAGCTCCGTGCAGGATTTATAACAATATTCCCGTCCCAGCTCCCGTGGAGCCCGGCGGGCACTCTGCAAAACAGGTTTGCGGGTCTGCTGCCTTTTTTTTTTCTTTTTTCCTCCCTCCAAATCATTTTTTCTCTTCACAGCGGAGTGGCCAGTGCAACATTCATTTTGGCTGCCCATTCCCTCGCTATCCATTGGCCCAGTTATGAAGACTCCTCCACACATTTCATGTGAGCTCTGCGTGCATCATGGAACTTAATATTTTATTTTGTGGGCCTCTGTTTAGGATCTTACTAGTATGTGTTTGAAAGAGCTAATATTGGAACTCAAGTGCCTGCAGAAATAGTGCGAGAAGAACAAGATGTGCTGCAATTTTTTTGCTTGGTTTCTGCCCCTAAAATTCTAAAACCTTTTTGTTTTCTGGGAACTTACAATTATGAAGAGAAGCTGCTTGTTCAACTAATGGTCTTGGAGCACTGCGTCTGAGAACAAATTAAAATGGAGAAAACGAAAATGGATCTCCAAACGTAAGGGAGGYGTTTCTGGCAGAACGAGGATGGACGGCTTCAAGAAGACTGGGAGGACAAGCACACCGTAGCGTGCTTTTGCTATAAACATAAATTCAAGAAATACCTCCTGCGTACTTTTCAAGAAGGATCCACATGACTGCAGTTAATATTGAAAGTGAAGAGCTTGAGCTTACACTGGGGAAAAGATGACTCGCTGGCAAGAAGGTGGATTGTCTTTTAGGGACATTTGAGATGGATATTCTGAACCTGTTGATCTTCCTAAACCTTGGACTGGAGAGGCAAGGTCATCACTTCCATGGGGAAATCTCCCCGTTCCTCCTCTCTGCCAGACTGAGGAGTTTTCTGCTGCGCTGGGTTCCTATGCATCTGAACTGATTTCTTGCTTGTGATCTGCTCGTTCTCTGTCACTGATCGCTGGCTTCAGTTGCTGGAGGAGAAAGGACACTTAATTTAGTTTTTTTTTATTATTTGTTTGCTTTGTTTTGATTACTTTGGGTTTAAATATGTTTCTGAGCTTCCAGAGACCTTTGAGCACGTGGCACCGCGGAAGAGAAACCGTGGTGGCGAGAAATAGGGAAGAAATTCCGTGAGCAGCGTGGCCGGGAGAAGGCTGGAGGCGGCTGAGCGCCTCTGTGCTCTGCGTCCCGCGTGGCGGCGAGGGGGATCGCGGGAGCCGCGGCGCCCTGGGCACACGCGGCGGGCCGAGCACGCGGCCCCGAGCGGAATGTGCGGCCGGAGCGCGCGCTGCTGCAGCTGGTAGCATGAGTGCTGGCCCCCCGCGGCAGCTGCCTCCCCTCTGGCCTTGGCTGCTCATGGCTGCGCTGCAGGTCGGACTGGGCCACACGGAGCTGGCGCTGGCGGCYGCCGTCAAATCGGAGCGCTCGGCGGCGCAGAAAGCCATCATCCGGGTGAGCCCCCTCAAAGTGGAGCCCATCACCCTGGAAGGGGAGTTCGCCAGCGTCGCCGAGGTTACTCCAGCTGAGGGCAAACTGCTTCAGGTAGGAGCCCCTCCGCTCGACCCGGTTCTGCGGGTTGTGTTCTCGGTCCTCCCCTTCCTGCTCTCCCTACTGCTTCAGCTGCCTGGGGAGGGGATTTGCTTTTATTTCCCGATTACAGATTTATAACCTAAGAAACACGTCGTTTTTGTGGGGTGAGCTGTCCACCTGTTTGCTTTGCTCCTTCGTGGTACTGTTCTTGAAGCTTGCACACCAGTCTAAGGGAGAAGTGCTTATGTATCTTTCATATACATATTTGTACATGCATTATATATACAAACACACACGTATGCGTGGTTGGTTCTTCAGGCTGTCGTGGTCTGCACTTGTGCTTGTATTGCTGCTGAATTTTGGATGTAGTCAGTTGATCCCATGAAGGTGATTGCACAGCTTGATGGGTGTTATAAAGCAGAGTGCGCTGAGTCACATTTGGGGACGCGGGGAAGATCTGTCCGAAAGGAGCAACATCTTAGTGAAATCCTGAAGGTTTCCTGCCCGYGTCTCCTCATGGAGAGTGAAGTTGAGCTCAGCTTAGGCTGCACATCTGCGTTCTGCCTACCAGATTCACTGCGCTGCCAGTTGTGCTCTCGCGCGCTGCCCGTGCCTGGAAATCGTTCTCACCGCGATGCTTCCTGTGGTGTCAGCACTGTATATTTTTGTAAGTGAAATGGGTGCCGCTTTCTGATGTCTGCCGAGAGTGGAGAGCACGTGAACATCTTGCCCAAAGATGCAGGTGCCGCGAAGGGACGGCTCTGTCGGGCAGCCTCGGCCTCGGCTCGCCGTGCTCCTCAAGCTCAGCTTCTAGAGGCCGCACAGGCCGCGGGGACCCTCCCGGGCTCTCGCTGGTCGCCATTTGTTGGAGTCACGTGTTCGATTCTGGAGAAGTAAATACAGCAAAATTCATCTGGATAGATAAAATATCCTGCATGGATATTAAATATTAACTTTTGCGTGGCTCTTGCCAGTTTTGCCTTTATAAATGAGCTGGTTTACAATCTTAATCATATCGATAGTTTGTGAATTTAAAGTAGTAAATATTTTACGGTTTTATCAGAAAAGCGGCCGGCCYCGCAGCGTGATCACCCGGCTGCAGCGGGCAGCGCGCGGGGGCTCTTTGAGCCTGCCCGCAAAGCCTTTGGAACCCGTCAGAATGAAAGCCCTGTTATAAAATTATATTACCAGGATAAAAAAATATCTTAGACAAATGTACCCAAGGTCCTGTTCTGTCATGAGGCAATGTCCAGGAGAGTCAATATTGATTCCATACAAAAAAACTAGAGTGGTGTTGCAACTGAGCGCTGAGTGGAAAGGATAGAGCTTTTGGAAACGAGACGATAACCCCCTTCCGCAGGGACTCCAGCTGTGGTTTTGGGGTGTGTGAAGTCTCTCAAGCCCACTGGGAAGCCCAAACAAATGAGATGTTTTGAATACTAAGCCATGAATAGGGGTGGATTTACAAATGAGTTTCCTTCTTTAAAAATCATCCTCCAGAGGAGAAGGTTGGGGAAACACTAATCTTATCTGTGTAATTTACGTAAACAGATACTGAGCTGCACCGTGTGCCTCTCTTTGAGGCTCTCCTCCCACASCGAGCTTGCTCGGATGGTCATTCCTATTCCTTATCCCACAGACTGAGTCTCGTTTTAGAGCGTTCGCCCATTTGGATGTGGTTTTAGGATGCGRGTACGGGGTCAGGAGCGGGGGATCCGCGGTCTCCGCAGCGGCTGTGCACGCGGGGCTCGGCCAGCGGCTGTGGGTTTGCCTGGCACCGTCGTGTGTGCGTCGTGGGGCTGCTGCTAATTGTGCCCTTGCCTATCGGAACTCAGAATGCTGTGGAAAACACCTGGGSCTTGATCCTGCAGTTAATTCCTGCCTTTGGGAAGGTGGGACCTGAGATCCACAATGATCTACCACCACAACTGCGAAGGGACAAAATAAGAAACTAAYAGGAGAGAGCATTTGTGGTTCACTTCTCAACAGTAAGATATTAAATACACGTAAATTCTGCTTTATTGGATGTCCTGCTTCAAATGTAGCTGCCAACATCTCCATTTTGCCAAAACCCTAGGTGATAKGCCTTGCTTTTGATTTCATTGGAATTCTTATTTAAATGAAGTGTTCACAGTTACCTTCATAGTTGGTTCTTTATATGTAATTTAGGTACCTAACGTGATTATTTTTACAATTCATGGGTTAAGAAGAGAGGAGTAGTTTTTACACTGGTTTTGGCTTCATCTCCTGGGATGTGTCAGAATCAGTAAGGTGCAGTCAGTCCTCGTTAACATCACATGAGCACAGAACCTGCCCAAGTTCCCTCGGAAAAAAGGAGTGCGCGATCCCCTCCTCCTCAGCGTGTTACACGCTGGGCGAATTCAGGGTTTTAATCGGATTGCCTAAATATGAGGGCTGCGGAACTAGTCCCGTATTCAAATAAAAACCTCATTAACTTATCATCAGGTTTAAATTGTTTTGGTCAATATATCTTTAAAAATAGGCTCTCAGTTTTATTGAAGAAAATCTGCCATGAAATAGATGCTCACCAAAGATATGCCTATGGGAATACTTTGTTGTTTTCATTTTCTTCTTAGCATATTCTCTRGGATCCTCTACAGCAAACGACTTTGATCCTAAGTGTTAAATTTGAGGAAACTAACTTAAAAAAAAATCTTACCTCCCAAATAATTTGAACGTCAAACCCCGGGGCCCTGTGATGGGCTCTCCTGGGGAGTCTCGGGTTTGGGTTTTGCAGTGTGTCCTGGCGGTCGCTGCCCGGCACGGGGCGGGCAGCGGGAGCGGGGCAGCGGGAGCGGRGCAGCGGGAGCGGAGCAGYGGGAGCGGGGCAGCGGGAGCRGAGCAGCGCGCTGCCCGTCTCTCATGCAAACGGAGAGGAATGGTCCAAGGAGGCAGCGCCGCTGAAGGCTTTCTAGGTCAAAAAACCAACACCTTAGACTTCTTACAGAAATCGTCTTCCAGCTTGTTCGGTGCACAGATGTTACWGGCGCTAAGCATTAATTATTGCTCAACCACCGAGAATGGTGTGCTAGTTTGCAGTTTCTCAGGGGTTAGGAGCTCAGATCTGCGCTGAGCCGATGCAGCAGCCCGCACGTCCGTGCGCTTCCTCCAGCTGCGCGCAGGAAGAGAGGCCCCGTGCTCCAAGTGGGAGAACTGAAGCTCCTGGGCAAGGGCCACGTTGTGTCCTACTGCTCCCCGCAGAGCCGGAGCCGTTAGGGATTCTGCAGTTCCTGCAGCTGAGTGCCAGGGCAATCTCTGGGACCTCTGTTTTTGCTATTTCTGTTCTGTTAGCTTTTTTGGGGGGTTGGTAAATAAGTCTTCTGTCTTTCCTTCTTGTCCATGCTTCAGGTCCGTTCGATATTGGAGAGATTTCACTGTGCTAGTTGAAGACAGGAGACTTGAGAAGAGGTCGAGAGTTTGTCCAGTTCAGATTGAATAACGATAGGATTCATGTGCAAATCTAATGCCATGGAATAAAAAACTTCCTTTTCTTTTTGAGMAATAGGCCATTGCATAAATAAAGGCTCATTAGTAAAGCATCCATAATTAAGATCAAGCTTTAGTTTTTTTAAATTTTATTTTATTTGAGTGTATGTGACTCCAGTCTTGCGTGCAGGGCAAAGGATGGTCCTGTTAGCAGGTCTAAGGTGAGTGGGGAGCGCAGCAGAGTTTTCTCTTTGGAGCTGGTGCCAGTATTTCAGAAATAACATTTGAAAAAGTCCCAAACAATGAGTTTTAAAGGGAGAAGTATAAATCAAAACTAAATTTATTACAGAGAAAGCGAAGCAATGATCAATCACTTTACATAATGTACACGGAGAAAAAAAAATTTAGAAGGTGAAACAGCCGACTTKTTTAATAGACCAAAGCATCTAATCAGTTATCCCACGTGCATTATTTTATTGCAAGTCTCACAGTACTATTTGTTTGTTTCCTTATAATCTGAAGCAGTTATATAATTGGGTGATTGTATGAGAAAGTCAACTTCCATTAAGCCATGGAGCACAYTGTTTCAGCTTATGACTGCAGGAAAAACTTGCCAACACAGAACAAATTCCCCAAAGGCTCAGAAACCAGAAAGCACAAGAGCTGCTCCCTTTCCCTCACCCAATAAAATATTTTTAAAAATATTAGTTTTAGCACCAACCTTCTGATTTGGGTGGGATATATTAGATCCAAGGAGGACCCTAATTCCTATTTCAGGTGTTGAGTACAATTCAAGAGCTGCAAAAGAAGTCTAGATAAAGTCAAAAAAAGAAGCACCAAGTATGCTTTTAGCAGCAATAACAACTAACCATTGAAGCAAGTTGTGCCCTGGTGTAAGGAACCCAACCTGATCATCACAAATTGCACGTCCTAGAAATGGAGAGTGCTGCCAGTGTTGCAATGCACGGGGCTCTTGGAGAATTATAATCACCTGCTTAATTGCTTGTAGAGGGTTACAGTCCCAGCCCATAAGAAAGTAAATATATTAGTAGTCTTATATACTACTAGCTCCTGGATCAACAAAAGGATGTTGAGTGCCTAATGTTGACAAAGATCAAAGAAGTGGGAAAGTCTAACCAAATGATAATGGGGACTTAAATTACCTGTGAATAAAGTGGTCAGATAGCACAATAAGAGTAAGTTCAAAGAAGCAATTTCTGCTTCTTGGAACAGCTAGTACTAAAGTACACACAAAGATATGCTTGACTTAGTGTTAAGTAACAGGCAAGAACTAACTCAATAGCTAGCAATAATCGAGCCACTAATATTGACTTCAGTGTAATAAAAGTCAGTGCCTAAGAACCAAAAACTGGAATTCTGACATTAATTTTTAGAATGGGAAAATACAGTAACGTGAATGAGCGAGACAAATGACTCTGACAGTTAAAGAAATATAATAATGAAAAAATATTTACATGTGATACAGRTACTGCTCAAGAAATTAAAATTTTTAGGAAAAATACAAAGCAGTGAATCAAAAAAGTAATGTAGTAGAATTATGTTGA